GAATGGTACTGAGCATGAGGCAGGATATTGATGGGATTGGATTCTAGAGATGTTCTTTTTTTATGGCTATTTACAAGAAAACAGAACACAAGCATTAAAGCCATCATTACCTTTAATCCCTTGGTTTCCTGGTGAAATTGGCTTGGTGGTTTCTAGTATATAGTCCAAGATGCTTTGGGTTACATCACTGCCTTCCTGAATCTTAGTTTCTAATAACATTTTCCTTCTCTTTTTCTTATGTCCTTCAATGGGAACCTCAAGTAACAAAATCTTGTAATGACAAAATTAAATATTAATGAAACACAAAGATCCATGTTTATTTAAAAGCCTGCAGTTAACTTTTGGGATTACAGAGTTTAATCTTTCCCAATCCAAAAATCTCCTGTTGAAACTACAACTCACAAGATTTCAAACTAGCAATGCTAGAATAAGACATACTTTACTTTGCATTCAATAAAATGCTAGGGTCAGAGGCAGAAATTATCAACAGAAATATATATAGACTTCATGATACACGTAAATAAATACTATGTCAAGAAAAGTCTGGAAGTATTCAAAGAGTACAGCATAATGTTTACAAGCAAGACCTTTTTTTCTAAATCAACTATAGATTACTTCCTGATATGAACCTTTTTTTTAAATATAACATTATTTTTCTTTTTTTAATTTGACAAAATACACGTCCACAGAATCTTTGGTGTTACTGTTTCAGTCATTTCTGATCATTGAAGCATGGAGTTGCTTTAATTCCAGTATTTTAAAAGTTTTTGATATAAATTAGTGTTTATTATCACAATAAATATGGCTTTAAATTTATTAAAGAAATAAATAATAAAGCAAAAAGAGACAAAAAATGAATAAATAAATGCAAAACCTAATGCTGAAACAAAATCTGAAACAAAGCAAACTCATATTGTCAATGTCAAAGCATCTGCTTCACATTTGTTTCATTACCTTTAATTGGGAGCAATTAAATACTTTAGATTCAGTTTCATCTACATAAACCAAATCTGTGGTATCCACCTATCCATTATGATCATAACTGAGAAATTAGCAATTTATATAATTATATAATCACTCCAACCTATCAAAGGATGGCTACAAAAGGCAGAAATGATTCATTATGATGAAAATGATATTGCTGGGAAGAAAGTTATTCTATAGCCTGAAAATACTTCTGAATTTTTATTTGTGTTATGAAATAACTATGGGTATATTGATAACTAAATGTAATTACTGGTAATTATAAAAGCTCTTTCCATTTAAGCCAACTCCTGCCCCCATCCCCATTAATTTTACCTCATAGGACTTAGCACGATACTCCCGAGAATTTAGGCTTGCAGTATTCTTTGGACGAATGACAGCCACATAGGCTTCTGTTATGGTTTCTGGGTTTCCCATCATTTGTTGTTAATTTTTCTTACTGGAAAAATCAACTGAAAATAACAATTAAATTCAGAAAACAAGATTGTAAAACTAGCAGTGTTTCAATTGCTCTGTCCTTCTGTGTGTATGTACAGACATACATGCATGGATATTTTCCTCATCAAAATTATGTTAGCCAAACTATTAACAAATCTGTATTTATATTTTCAGCATTTAAAATTATTTTGAAGTTGCATACCAGTTTTAATAAAGCTAGTACAGCAATCTATTGGTATAAAGAACAGGGAAAATTAAAATAGTCTAAAAAGGAAAAAAAAAACGATACTAAACCTGTCAACCAGTGCAAAAGCCAGTGACAGCCGGTGTGGTGTAGTGATTCAGATGCTTGACTAGGCATGAGGAGATCCTGGTTCTAATCCACCCTCAGCCCTGGAACCTCACTGGTTGACTTTGGGCCAGTCTCTCTCAGACCAGTCTACTCATAGGGTGGTGGTGGTTGTTATGAGCAAAAAAACAGGTCTTATACTGCACTTAGTGATAAGTACACATCAAGTAAAAATACAAAGTACATTAAGAGGATTGCATGTATGAGCCTTACTAATCATATGCAAAAGGAAGCTAGGTATCTGGTTTCTGAGGCTAGGTTCTTACCCTTTTTAAGATGAAGCTTGCAGTTTGCAACAGATGACTGGGAACTAACGACTGTACACAGACTGGAAAGATTCTAATGCTTTCATTTTTGATATTGCTAGACACTGTATGGAGGGGAAGAGGCTGAATTTACCTCCCTCCCTATAAAGATACAAAGACTGCACTCTTCCATATAAGTACTTTACTTCAAAAGGCAGATGTATGAAATTCTATATGTGGTGCATTTGTGCAGTCAACCATTCTACTTGAAGATCTCATTAAAGGGAACACTAATTTCATTATAATTAGCAAAGCTAACTTTCATGCAGTGCTTTCAATATCAAGATTTAAGTTTCCAAAATAAAAATAACTATCTTCATGTGAGCAAAAATAATCAGTCCTATGTCCATTTATAAGTACCGTATACACCATTTAGTTCAAGGTACTTACTTACTCCATATATATCCAGATATATGTACCTTGGATCTTACTCCAAGGTACATGTATCTTGTACAGTAGCACCACTGAAAGTCTTTTCTAATATAAACAATGCAACATTTTTTATAACAACAACTTCTGCTTATAGTAAGCCTGAACACAAACTGGTCAACATTTATAATTTCTATATCAAGCCTGCCATTTTGGCTAAGAAGCTCCAATAATTTTCATTTGTATAGACATTAAAATACAAGTTTCAAATTAATATTTTATTTATAATATTCTGGTACCTCAAAATTCAAAGCAGGTATTTGTTAACAAGATTAGAAGTGAAATATATATACTGTAAAAAGTACAATATACTGTTTGACAGACAAAACCTGTTTGGACTGTTTTAACAAAATCTTGTGGAATTGTAAAACACATGTATTTATTATAGCATGATTTTGTAGATCTATTTTATTAGATGCATGAAATTTTTCACCAGCTTACAAATGTAAATACAGAGAAGGTTTTCATTGGAGTGGAACTGTAAACAATGAGCTAATGAGAAAAGAAATGCAGACTGCACAGACAGTAATTGGCCACTCTTAGGTAATTACTCACAAAGCAACTGTTGATTTATAACACAGATCTACAAAACCATGCTATAATAAACACATGTTTTACAATTCCACAAAATTTTGCTAAAACAGTCCAAACAGTTAGGATTTGCCTGTCAAACAGTATACCGTACTATTTACACTATATATATTTCACTTCTAATCTTGTTAATAAATTGGTAAACCTGGGTTCACACAGACTAATCCATGGTTTGCTTAGTTCCCCCCAAAGTTCCCCCCAAAAGTGATTTGTTGAATAAAATATAACTGGCTAGATTTGCATGACACACAAAGCTAGAGATTCAAATAGTTCCAAATTCCCTTTTTTGGAGTCAGTCCCCTCTACCCGTTACTGAGAAAAACGGCGACATGTTTTTTCACTATTTAAGACAAAGAACATGAAAACTGTTGTATAAGACCAAAAGTAGGTTTCACTGTTTTGAAATCTAAGAAACCCTTACAAAATCCCAGTCCTATCCACTTCACGTTATGGTCTTTCTCCCCATAAAAAACACAACAAAAGCCATGATGTAGGTTATTTGGCTTTGGCTTAGCAAGCTGAACACACTCAGTCATAGTTTGTGTTCCAAACCAAAACTACCCATTTTTGAACCCACGGTTGATAGAGTTGAAGCTCTTGATTCACCAATCTCCCTTTGATGTTTCTTAACTCCAGAACAGACACTTTAAGTGTTAATTACAAAAACTGGGAGATGCTGCAAATTGCCATTTATGATGTTATATTTTTCTCTGTTTATGCTTTTCAATGAAGACAGGATTCTTTGTCCTATGTAACCAGCAAAAGGTCATTGTTAGCAAATGATGTCATGTACCACATTTGAAAATGATGAAGAGTTGAGGTTGAGTTTATTAAGTCCTTTAAGAGTGCCACGAGAATAAACATGTGAGCATGTTTTGGCATCTGGATCAACCACGATCTGGTTTCTGTGGTCTGTATTCTTTAGTACCATTGTTGGCAGTAGCTATTTTGTACTTTTATATCAACCAATTAGAAGGACGTATAAGTTAAAGCTACATTAAAACAGCATTACAAGTCTATGTAGAGAATACTACAATTGAAGGCTATTTTATAGGTAGGTTCACTAGACACTGATGATAACAATTTCCAAAGTTCCCCCCAAAAGTGATTATGGCATGAATTTTGGTGGACAAAAGCTCAGAACAACCATTACTATCAAGATTTTCAGTCAGTTTTTGACTTCTGGCAACTACCTGGACCAGTCCCTGCAGTTTTCTTGGCAAGATATCAGGAGTAGTTTGCCATTGCCTCCTTCCTAGGGCTGAGAGGGACTGACAGGCCCAAGGTCACCCAGCTGGCTCCACACCAAACTGGCTCTCTACTATCGAGATTACAGTACTGCAAGTTTTCTTGGAATGGGCCATTACAGACTGCAAGTACGGGATCACAAGCAGGGTTAAACAAGAAGGCTCCCTACAGATACAGAACTAACACCTTCTTAGTAGAGATCAGTGACTCTCCTGAACAAGCTGCGTTTCTCCGTGCAGAGCATTTTGCTTTTTTTCCTGCCGCAGTGATTCCAAGAAGCGACCCATACCCGTCTCAGTCGGAAAGATCCCCGGATCCCAGTGCAAGGACTGCCCAAGGGGCCATAAGAGCACCACCGATTTCGGGTGGGCGGGGGAGACTTTTGGCTTTTCCGCAAACTAAATGCTCGCCTATTGGCTGCCTTAACGAGCACCTACGGCGGACTGAAGGGAAAGAGAGCGAGATCAAGCTCTGGAGCGCCCTGGCCTTGGAAAGGGTCGCTTCTTCTTACCGCGGAGCCTGGAGACCCTCCAGGGAAAGACGCATCCTCCAACCCCGGGTTTCGCTTCTCTCCGGCGGCGCTCCGCCTAACTCCCACCCCCTCAGCCGGCAGTAGATCCGCTTCCCGTGCGGCTCCGGCGGCCGATGAGGTTCCGGGTCGGAGGCCTGATTGCTGGGCGCCGCTGCTGGTCGCGGGAGGAGCAGTCGCGTTGTTTTGGCGGTCCGAGATGGCTGGGCTGGAGTCGGGGCCGAGAGGGCGGGGCAGGAGAAGGCGCGGGCTGAGGGAAGAGAGCCGCGGGCAGGCCCGGGACGCCGAAGGGGAGCCCCGCGGGCCGTCCGGCCGCCAGCGCGGAACAAAGGGGAGAGAGGGGACGCTCCGGAGTGCCCGCCCCGATTCCAACCCGGCATCTCCCGGTTCTCCGTGGAAGGCGCTGGCGGCTGCCCTCGTTGTCCTCGGCGCCTGGAAGGCAGGCAGGCAGGCAGGCAGGCAGGCAGGCCGCCCGCGAAAAACGAGCTCGGCGAGCGCGTGGTAGTGACAGGGAAACGGGCCGAGATTGCCCCCCGGAGCGCTGCGGGGTGGATGGAAGGTTAGAGGCGCCCTCCGCGAGGACGAGGCGCCCAGAGGAGGCGGGAAGCGTTGCTGACGGGAACGGGGTGAGTGTGCTCGGGACGCTCTTTCTCTTTCGTCCCCTGTTGGGGCTGGGACTTAAAAGACAGCGCCACAATCTTGGCATCCCTTGGGTCTTTTCAGTGGGAGGGTCCTCCCCCCTGCCCCAGCTACTTTCTCGTGCCCCTTCGTTGTAGTTACCGCTGGGAAAGAGAATGCCACGGCCGGGGAGCCTGCAGGTCTCAGCCCCTGGTAGGCGGAAGACCAGCCTCCAGGCTTAAGAAGGGACTGGAGCGGATGGGAAACAGAACTGCCCTTGCCTAAACTTCATCGCCCTTCGAGGGCGTTCAGGGATGAGTTGGAGGCGTCTGGGGCATGGTGGAGATGCGGCCGGGCGGGTGGAAGAAACCCCGGTTCAGGAAATGCGGGGCTTAGCTTTGGCATCAGGGGTGCTTGGTTGAGCTTTCCGGCAGCCCGGTTGCAGCCTCCTAGACTATTCTCGGAGGCAGTAATCCAGAGGAATGGGTGGATTATTTTTCCCCTCTCGGGACATGCCGTTTTATTTTTCAATGTAGGTTTAGAAGGTAGAATTAAGATTTCCAATCTGTATTGGCAATTCTGAATGCAGGATGGATAGCTTCTAACTGATTCTAATTAACAAAGAATTGAAGGGTGTGGTCTTTTATATGGAAAGAAATGCACCAAATTAGAGTAGCAGAAAATTAATCTACTGATTGATATGGGCTGCTCTCTGTTCAGGGATTTCTAATAACTAGAGCTCCCAGCAGAGTCTGCTGGGAGGGTCCTTCCACTGAGGTATTACTGCAAGGACTAGTGTGAAGTGTTTTCCAGTTTGCCACATAGAATTCCAACTTCGTTCTTAGAAAGTTGGCCTGGTGATAGATTCAGATTACCTGTTCACTTTGACTTTTGTACATGTACAAAGTCATTCTCAAAACAAGCAAATTTAATTTTGTCCTGTTACATTATGAAATGGTTCAAGAAAATCTTTTATTTCATTTTTTTTATTATCATAAACTTGACAGTTTAAATTGTGGTTAGAATTATCTCATTGTTATTATTGATCTGTATTAAGGATGTCCACTGTTTTTACAGAAACAGCTATCAGGTGTGAGTGTATTTAGGAACATTATTCAGCACCAAAAAAAGTCTTAGGACCCTTTAGGCTCTTAGATTAATCATTATACATTTGAATAGGATGTCCTGTCATTTGTCCATTTTTAAAAGCTGTCTTAAAGTTCAGCTAGTAAATTTGAGAAACAACCATACAAATAGACCAAAATGGACAATGGATAAAGCCATAGGATTAAATTGAAGTCCTGAGTGTAGTTAGATCAAAGAGGCCTTAGCTGAAAAGCTTGAGGAAGGAAAATGTTTTAGAAATTTTCAGCAAACTTTCAGCTAAGTATAATTGCATCTAGATTAGATAGTTTCCAAATCATGGGAAGTAATGTTTCCATTATATTATGCATTGATCCAACCAACATATCTTTGCCCAGTTCTGAGTACTGCATTTTCAGAAAAAAAATCAGAGAAATTATAACTGGTAAAGAAAAAAGCAACAAAGGTAAGCAGCAAACTGGAAACCAATCCTTAATATGAGATAATGGGTATATTTAGCCTTAAGAAAAGACAAAGCAGGAAAGCACTTTTCTTTCATACAGAAGGCGGCCAAGACTTACTCTCTATTACCATAGAGTGCAGGATATTGAAGTTTCAGTAAAGCAAGTTTGGGTTGAATGTTAGGAACAAACTTCCTAGTGGTAGGTATAGTTAAGTATATAGCCAATTACCAATGGAAGTGGTGAGTGCCCCTTCACTGGAGATGTTCATGCAACCCCTAAGTATGTGCAACCCCCAACTTATTGCAATTCCATGAACAATTTAATTCTGTTTTATTCCAAATTGCCTTAAGCCTAAACTGATTTATTGTGGGTGTCTATTTGGGGTTTTGATTTTGAGTTATGTTTCTATTACCCTGTTTTTCTGCCTTTTAATATTGTATACTACCTGGAGTCTTTTAGGATTGGGATGGGCATAAGTATTGCAAATAAGTAAAATCTGTTGGATGCCATTTTAGTATGGATCCCTGAACTTAATGGTGTTGGACTCAGAGGTTCAAATGGCCTTTCCAACTCTGTGATTCTACTCTAATTACATAAAGAACTCTCTTTGTGAATCAAATAGTTTTGCTCTAATAATTTTTAAAAAGGTAACTAAGGAAAGGGAATGCTCTTTGAAAAATGGGGAAGGAAAAGCAATAGCAAGCCAGAGAATGATGGACTCAGATACGTATATCCTTATTATCTGAACTTCAGGTACTAATATTTTTATATCAGATATATTATTAAAATGTATCTAAAGTTCATGATTTCACATTAACACAAAACTTAATTGCATGCATACATCTAAATAGAAACAATGATTGTAGTAAACATTAAACATTCAAAATTTTACTATTTTTGTACAATATCAAAATAGTAATATAGATATACAAATTGTTAACTTCATGAAATCTAGATCATGTGGAATCATATTGTCTGATACTTCCTATCCCTTGATATAGAGTTAGTTCAGTCTGATAATTCTGTCAAGCCTACCTTTAGAGGCTAGGGAATATCCTTCCAAGAATATATTATCATTTTTGTGCCAGTTTAGGCATGATATAACCAAAGTTCTATCAAGACAAATTCCAAATTTTGGGAATGTGAGTTAGCACCATGTTAGCACATTAATTTCTTTCCAAGAATGTGGTTCACCATCATATTAATACCTAACCAATGGGATCTCCCAATGGATATGTTCAAAACATATGTGCTAATATTTCAATTTATTACATCTCTGGAATGAAAAAGAAGATAGTTGACCTTTTTTGAACATCATTTGAGGAGACCACTGAACCTGAAAAAGATTTTTTGCTGAACTGATCAGGTCTTTATATGATATGAAGGTTACTTAAAGCTTAGAAACTGAGATCAATTATTTTGTGTTATAGGATACTCCATTGTTATATTCCAGATTTCTTGTATGTTATCCAAATTTATTTTTGTAATTTAAATATTTTTTTCTGATAATACCGAATTGATTTATCCTCTGTAAAACTTCTGAACTATCAAAGGTTACTAAGCTACTATGCCCAAACAAAGAAAATAACCAATGTTGCTTTTGGCAAATTATATTCCTTTTGTAATTTTTCAAAAGTTACAAAGGTATCATTACTTTTTAATGAAGGTTATATAGAAGAAGAAGATTACTCTTTATAAACTAGGACTTTCAAAGGATAACTGCCCTTGAGTTTCAGCATATTGGCCTGGATAGTTGAAAATTAAGCACTTTGTTTTGCTTAACACATTTTTTTAAATAAATACAGACTCTTTAATTCTATACTTTGTGTATCTTAAAAATACTATTTCAAAGGATCAACAACGAAAGCTATCAGCAGATATCTTTCTATTAATACCTGTGCTTGATTAAGAGACTTTAGTAGTTAATAGTTGCTGCTTTTGCTTCATTGAACTACTGGGATAGATTATTAGTAAAGCTATTAGAATGCAGAAAATCAGAACTGTTCTTTTGGTTGAATCTTCTTTTACAGAAATGAATCATATGACATAGACTCACAAACTGAATGCATTGTTTAGCATGGAAAACATGAATATGCAGTTCTTCTTACTGATAAGCATAAGCTGATATTTAGCTGTACTGATAAACAGTCCAGTACAGAGAAAGTGAAAAACTTTCTTTTTCTATGATAATAAACATAATGAACTCTGAACCTTATCTATTTCATGCTAACTAATCTGAAAAGAAAAAAAAAATGAGTATCTGATTAATAGATGAAAATGGAAAAGGTGTGACTCTTCACAGGATACAAACAAGGGCTTTGCCATCATAGTTGCTGTTTTTAATGTTTATTTTTGCAGCATCAACATCATGAAAATATTCATACCAGCATTCAATTGCATGGGGTTTTTTTTAGCATTCCTTGTACCAAATACTGCATAGCTGTTCAAAATTAGGTCACTTTCCAACTTGAAAAGTATATTTTAATATTTGTGAAATTGTTCAACTCAAATACCGGCTTTTCAGAAAGTTTAGAACTGTTATTTTAAAAAAGCAAGAAAAGGCATAATTACTTAATAAAATTTGATTTTGAACCTGAAGGCTGGTTATTTGGCAGTCAGATGCACAAATGTATTGAAATTGTGATTCTGCCCCTTTAGGTTCATTGGAGTGCAGTAAAAAAGTGCTTGTGTTCAAGAGCACAATTCTTTAATAATTACAAAGTCAAGATTGTTTATTGACTCTCCACCTTAGCAATATAATGGTGACTACTAATGGGTACTTCCTGATTAAGTGCTCTGAGGCTAATAATTTAAATATGGTATGTCTGCAGATCTGCAGATTTGAAACTTATAGCTAAAAGTTATTTTCACCAATAAATAAAAAAGGCAGTGAAGTGTCTATTGATTTATGAGCTGATTCAAACAAACACTGTATCCTGCTTCAGAATTACTAGACATTTATAGTTAGAATATAAATTGTGCACAGAGCTTATTTTTGTAAACCTCAATATTTTGGTCAGAAAAAGGGGTAACAATTACAAATTTGGTTTCTGAATAAAAGATTCTAGCATTTTCAAACTTGGTAGAATGCTTATTTGTGATGGAAGATATCATTGCCAGGGAAAAATTATTGAAAAAGCAACTCTATGATCTCATCAGCCATTCTTTCAGCTGAAAAAGTACTATGTCATTAAAGTAGGAGGGTTCTGCAAATTTGAAATACAGTTTATTGAAGAATAAGTACATATAAATATGAATGGAACATGTATCCACATCATATAAATTACAGCCAGATTAATATACCTAACTCAAATTCATAAGATTGGATGAATCCAAATTGTATGAAATTATTTTGGGCTGAATATCTGGAGGAACTTTTTCAGTGCTTCTAGTCTTGCTGGATTCTGTAAACCTTTTGAATATCATACAATGCGCAGGATAATATGCTGTCCAGAGGATTT